AAGCATCTGCCAGATCCAGCTTAGCAAAATAGGTACCACCATTTAAAATAGTAAATAAGTCATCTGGGATCGGCAGCGGATAGTGATGCTGTTGTAGAGCCGCGTTGAGTCCTGTGGAAAAGTCTGCACAGATGCGTATGGAACCATTAGATTTTTTTACAACCACAATTGGTGCAGCCCAAGATGAATAAGAAACAGGTACCAGAACACCCTCAGTTTCCAAACGTTGAAGTTCAGCGTCAACCAGGGGTAAAGATGCGTATGGAACTGGACGCTTTGGGCGAAAAACTGGCGTAGCTTCTGGCTGCAGTCTTAAAACAGCTTCAGTTGTGGTACAAAGTCCAAGACCAGGCTGAAATAGTTCAATAAATCTTTTTCGAAGGTCTTCAGCATGCTGTTGTGTCGATGCAGTAGTTTGGACTTGATTGCAGATAGCGTTAATAGGAAGATCAGCGAGACCAAGTTCTTCGAACCAATCTAAACCTAAAAGATTGAGCGGGGAATTGGTGATGTAGCATGTCCCATCGAAGGTTGTACCTCTGAATGAAATGCAGCAACGGAGTTCACCATGAAGGCGGAGATGACCCCCACAGGCACTGACGGCTGTCTGAGAGGATGGTTTGATGGGAGGTTGACCCAAGGTTCGCCAAGTCTTTTTCGACAGAATGGTGATATCTGATGCAGTGTCCAACTGCAAACGAACTGGCTGACCATTGATTGAGAGGGTCAAAAATTTGCGTCGAGTCGCGGCATGAGTATGGAAGACTGCTGCTAAACCCCTTGATGAGGTAATCGGCTTTTTGTGAAAACGACGCTGCGTCTGTGCATTTCGACGGTTATTGGATCGGTTGGATTTGCAAAAGCCGCTTTTGTGACCAACTTTCTGACAGCGATCGCACACATTCTGTTTGAATGGACAAAACTGCACATAATGCCAGGCTCCACAGTGCCAGCATGGAGAGGGGGGCTTCTTCTGAGCCGGTTTAGAGTGATTAGAGACAGAAACAGCGCTGGCGTTCGAGAGACTCGAGGTCGTCGATCTCGAAGATTTTCTTTGGTGCTGAACAGCATGAACTTCGGAACCACCCTGGCCACCAGATTGAACCAAAGTGGTGTCACGCTGCAGATTGATGATGCGCTGGTACTCGTCTATGATCGCATTGAGTGTCAGTGTTGGATCTTGTTCAAGGCGGTTTAGCAAACGAGTTCTGATGTCGGAGAATTTGGGTGACTGAAGACTGCATATGAGTATTAGGGACTTGAATTGGTCTTCAGTGAGGGATCTGAGCTTGAATCGTTCGCACTCACGGTTAACAACGCCGACGTGGGTCAGGAAGTCATCGGACTCATTCATGATCAGTTTTAAGCAGCGATATCGAGTACTGAAGAGCGAGTGATGATCACCAAAAAGTTGGCTAAGGGACTGAATAGTGGCGTCGAATGAACGGTCGCGTGGGTTCTGCGGTAGAATAAAGTTGCAATACTTATCCAGCTCTGATGGACCAAGTTTACGAAGCAGGAGACGCACCTTCCACGCATCATCTCTGTCAGCAAAGTCAACTTTGAAAAGGTCTTCATAACGTCTGAACCAGGTATCAAATGTAATGTTGGCATCAGGATCATAAAGGAATTCTGAAATACCACTGGTAATACCATCAACTGATTCAGGAATTGTCGGTGTAGTTGGAACTCGAGAAGATATGTGCGTGTGAGCAATCATCTCCATCAGCTTCAACTGCTGTTCGAACAATTTTTCTAGTTTGGCTGGATCCATAGTTAATCACCAACTTCTTTGCTGAATCTCCGTCGCCAAATTGTTATGTATCGCGAGGTGACTACTCTAATTTCTACCGATTGACTAGCTTCAGATATCCCAGTTCGACCCCAATACTGTTCCCAATCTCCAATATATCAGAACACGAACCGTAGATGAGAAATTGTTTATGGGGTCAGGAGCCGAATAATGATTTACAAACAAATGCATATTTATACAGTTAGGATTACTATAAATATTGACCAACAGAAAGATAACACGTGAAATAATATTGACCAATGGGGAAATGACACGCGAAATAAATATTGATTAGTAGGGAAAAGTCCAATAGGAAAATGACACCATTTAACGTTCAAGGGTAGCATTAGACTTAACCGGATAATTGTTTTTGGGATATTTTTCTGAATATCCCAACAGCTGTAGAATTAAAATTCAATTAATTTATACATTTATCAAAATTTTGACACGTAACCTAATAACTAAGCCACATTCATTTGTTCTTCGTTCAATATCTCTATAGTATGTACATCGGTCAAATGATGATTATTAATCAATTAACAAGATGTAAACATATTGAGTTAGAATAATAATGAATATATCCAAGTAGAATTACTTCTTTCCTTATATACACAAGTCAAAACAGGAAACAAAATAGTAATTGTTAGTATCAAAATAGGGTAATACAATCAATTTTAATTATCACTTAGTTATTATCACAAGTTTATACGCCATTGAAATAAATCAAAAATAAAATCAATAGTTTGAAAATGAACTATTTATATTTTAATGAAAAAAAAGTAGTAGTATCAGACATACGAAATACGAGTGCACAAAAGATATCGACCTGATATCAGTCACATATCAAATTTTTGGAAGAATTTCGTTGTGTAGAACCTGAAACAAATTTCTAATCTTACAATAGGGCAATGGATATTTGTGAATCAAAGGTGTTTTACTTCGAAACTGAACGGAAAACAAATGTCCGATACATTAACCCAGTTGGTCGATATGGAGGATCAATCTAGGGGAGTTAGAAAACCTTGGTTCCAAACCAATGGCGTATGAACCTATTGCTGGACACTAGCTACCATGGGACAGCACTTCCTAAATTTGCTCCACAGCCTTGTAGATTAGACCTATAGGCTCCGGGTGTGACTCCCTATGAAAGCCACCTGATCTTGTTTGGGTGCCTGGGCAGTATTCCGACCCTCACACAAACCGAATGATGATTACAACTGAAAGAAACTACCCTCGCTTCAATTCGCGTTCAGACAAATCAAATTTACAATCATTCGGTAACATTCGTTATTACTTTTTTACACTTCACCTGAATAGACCCTTTCATTATCCTTTTGTGCATTCTTTTATTTTTTGACTTATACAGTAGTTTGCCTGTGGTGGAAATTATGTCCTATCTAAACGATTTCAAGTCACTGACTGGTCAGAAGTTGAATGCTACTACCAACTACAAAAACCGAACTAGCCTTTCCGAAACCGCGTATACCATTCAAACTGGCTACCTTCGACGTTCGCTTACTAATGCAGATCAACCGACATATAGAGTTGGTTGTCTTTAGAAAGTCACAACATTGATGTCTTTTTGTCTATCCGAGACCTGTATTCAAGACTCCAGTAAAGTACCACAAATTCGCATTCCATTTGTCGCTTCAAAGGGCTTGTTTCGCGTGCGTTCATAAGGGGACCATGTGGCATCGTCTGATTTTGCTGGCGTTAGTGTTGGTGCGGATCTGTTGCCTGGAGAAAAACTTCCCGACCTTGAGTATGCAGATGATATTGTCTTACTGTGCGGTAATGCCCAATCCATGCAATCCGCACTTAATCAGTTGGTAATTAGTGTCCGTAGGTATCGTACGTGAATTGCACCTTCGAAGTGCAAAGTACTTTTATAAGGCTGTCACAACCGTGAACCTGCGCTCACTCTGGGCAGTGAGCAGATAGAAGTTGTCGAGAAGTTCATGCACCTGAGTAGCTACATAAATGATGGTGGTGGCGTGAGTGATGAGATCAATTCACGTATAGTAAAAGCCGGAGAGGCTTACGTCAATGAGGATCATCGTTGGCACTTTCGTGATGTTATTCTGGCTGTAAAAGGAGGATCTACAACGCGTCCATGAAAGCAATTTTGCCCTATGCATTTGAAGCTTGTCCTCTCCAATTTGAGGATGTTATACGACTGTGTTTGATCTTTGCTGTCTCCGGAGGAATGATAACATCCAATGGAAACACCATGTTTGTAATGCATAGGTTCGGCATCGTTTGTTCGGGCAGAGACGATAATGCAATTGGTGTCACCATCTTGAAACATTGACTTCATTAGCTTGGATATGCCTTACGAATGTCATCCTAGAGTTCCACATCGTGCCTTATTTGCCGACGCTGAGACTGGTTGGAGAAAGTGGAGAGGTGGTCAGTGTAGGACATGGTGTGGTAGTATGAAAGAAAGCTGTACAGGACTGGCTTCTGCCGAACCTTTACGACTTCCTGGTCGGGATCCTAGAGATGGTACAACATGGTGACTTGAGACGTCATCAGAAGTGGTTCAGAATAGAAGCCAGTAATGATTCTGTAGTAAATTTATTTTTACTTCCTTCATAAAAGTGAAAGTAACTTCTTTAACTCAAAAAATCCTTTCCAGTTGTATTTTTCCCAACTGAACTGTTTCTCCCATTATTATTTCACTCTTATACACTAATTTTTGTTCATTGTTGCTCGTCTTTTCATTATATTCAACCTCCATTCGCTGTTTCTTCACGATCTCGTTGTTATTTTGTGGCATATATGTATTTGGTACCCCTTGTACCAATGTTTGTGTTCAAACAAATACAATAAACATATGATTGTACAAGAGTAAACATAAATGGCGTGGTTCAGAAATAAGAAATGAAGTAAAGGACTTGGGAGTATGGAGTCAGTCAGTCAGCAACAACGTAGAACTTCGTACGTTTGTACATCATTTTTAGTTTCCATACCACAGAGATGTAATTGTAGAGTATCACTGAAGTTCAATGAGGATAGGAAAAAATGCGTCCACCCCACTCCAAGTAATTTTGAGTTAAATCACACGTCTTCGACCATGAATCTTGATTATCGGACAGACCAAACCTAATTTGCCAAGTAATCTTATTGATAAAGTATTTTAATCTAGTAAAAATGGCTTTCCAAGAAAAAAAGATATTTGAAAAAGCAAATGTAAAGATAAACATACTTGTTAATAAAATTTTCTAGACCTTTTCGTCGCTCCTCGATGAAATCCTCATCAAATATACCTTTGTCTGCCCGAAAAGGTAACTGGCGTTTCCATGCTTTACTTGGTAATCGAGGAACAACAATCTGTTGAAATATAAAATGAGAATCTAGTTTGGTATATTCCCATTTCAAAACTTGCATACTTCTAAACCATAAATTTAATCATAAACAAGTAGGGAGAACGAGGCTGGGTAGAAGAAAAAACGCCGATCCCTATACTTTCCATGTTGTATACCTGTTAAGGATACAGTTGGTGGATTGAGTTTTCATCAGTGATTCAATAAGCGAAAGACGACGGGTTAGCCTACTATGCACTAATCGGTTTAGTTACATTCTATGGTTATGAACGATGCAAGGAATAAAGGCTTAAATGTAATGGCAAATATCTGAATGCATTTCCATTTCTTTTTGAGAAAGGTTTATCTTTAAATTACTAATTAAATTATGTTACCTTTTCAGATGTCTTTACAAGTACTTAAGGACGACTAATATTTTAAGTGAGCGAGAATCTACCTTCCGTACGTAACCTACATTTCAAATGGCACTATAAACTCAGAAGGCATAGATTTCGATGTTTGTTGTAACACTAGGTATTTGTTGGTCTATTATTAGCACGTTTATTACATCGAAGAATAACTTTTCTGTTTGTAGAACACTTAACAGAATTTTGAATTCTATGTGACAAGCACATCAGCAAATCCATCCCAAATAAAAACATGAGGAAATGAATTATTCCTGAAAACAATATATATACATGTAATACATAATCGTATTTATAACGCACCGAATTTTCGAACTATGGGTATGCTTATATATGTTTTATTACGTTTAGACAAGATAGAACCACTTAGATGACATTAATAGACTTTGATTGCATGTTCTTCCTATACTCTCTTCTAAGAATCACTTATTTCCGCGCACAACGATTGTGTGCGACGACAGACACGTTGACATGGAGAAAAGTGGCGCAACCTTCTTACAATTGAGTCATGTTTGCGAAATAAACCACAATTAAAATTTAATGTGCTGAGAAAGTTTAATTGAGTCCATACATTTAACCAGAAATCTTGAGGAATTTTTGGGATTTAATCAATGGACTTAGATGGACTTCTCCAAAGTAATTGAGAATCCTGGAGAAAAAACTCCGAACCAGGTAAAATTTCCAGACATTTAGCCAAACCCCCTAAAGTTTTCTGTCAGACTTCCCTCAAAAAAATCGATAAAAATTCACCCCAAAATCGACAGATAGATTAAATATATAAGCTACATACCTTGCTTTCACGGTCTAGTTCGTCACGAAGCCATTTGAAATCACTATACCTCCGACGAACCGACGACTCTTTGTGTGCAAATATAGGTAAATTTGTCTACAGAAAACTACGATGACTACAGAAATTTACGTACTCTAAGACTAACTTCATAGTCTGTGAAGCGATCTTTACCATCCTCGTGAGTAAGAGGGTTGCACACATCAATCTCTAAGAAATTCGCTGGTGGTGAATAAGCATCTTCAATTGTTTGCCTTCTAGGGACCAACCTTTGAGTTGCAGAAGCTACGGTTGCGGGTGACTCAAGCATACCGCGATTTTGAAAAACTGACTGTAGAAACCGAAAAGAGCGACTCAATTGTTTCAAAATTCTATTTTTCGTTTTCTATCTAGCCTATTAGAAACACTTGACGTCTCAAAATTTCTGATCTACTAGTTATCTACTTTTAGTTTGTAAACTGCTCAGATTATACTCAGTCTTCATATTCCACTTATCGGTCAGTTGCCCTATATACCATTCTTCCTATACGTCATCTTCTTCCTCCCTCAGCTATACAGTATCCAAAGTCTCAATAAAATGACAAAAGCTGCATTTTTAGGTCTGGCATTTTAAGCGTAATTAATATGTTCTGTGGCTGGAAGTGGGGTTCACTATCGCCTGTCGATACCAAAATAAACGAATAATTACAAACTTATTGATAAAGATCGCAAAGTTCAGATGCTCGCACATGATAAGAGCTGTTCATCAGTTAACGTTCAGCGACGATGTCTGAAAATTAATAGCGATAGTGAAAACCTGTGGTACAATCGCTTGGTATTATTTCGTAAATCACAATATTCGTGAACACCATGATCAACCCTTCTCACGACAAACGATAAAACCTAAATCTTAGAACCATTTGATCTCATAATCTAACGAAGGAGTAAGTTATAGTTCAGCAATTCCTCTTTTGTAAATTGTAGATCATTAGCGTCTGAGAAATAGGGCCGAGGCGAAATGGTTCAAATGGTGGTTCAAATGGTTGTGCACAGAATAGAAGAAGCTTTCGCTTAACAGGCTTCCGTGTTTAGTAGCAGGGGATCATTAAAACCTCTAGGAAGGAACCTAGATATTTTAACAATAAAATAGGAAAAGAAAATAGTAATTCAAAGTGTGATACTGTCCTTAGACCTGAAGTATAGATCAAGGTGCCTCTTAAAAGACTCCTGGGAAGTCGCTTGGACTAGCTCGGCCGGCAGCGAACTAAAGCATTGGACAACTCTTAAGGAGTAGAAGTCGTTGTGTCTCCAGTTTTTGGGTGTTACCCGTTAGGTTAGTGTTGAAACTAAGCTTAAGTAGGTGTTTGAGAGGATGTCCAGAAGTTTTAAGGATACTGTAAGCCATCAGGTCACCTCTAAGATGTCTATACTCTAATAGGCAAAGGTTAAGTGATTGGAGGCACTCTTCATAAGGTTTAAATTTGAGGCCTGATTTCGTGGCTCGCCATCGGATATGCTCTAGGGTGACCTTATCCTTTTGGAGTGAGGGAGGAAGTACTATGTTTCCGTACTCTAAATGGGGACGGATAAAACTATTGAAGATAATTTGGAAAGTTCTTCCATCAAACTGGCCAACAATGCGCTTCAATGTTACTGATTTAAGGTTTGCTCGGAAGGCATTTTTGTCACAGTTAGCATAAGACTTTAAATAGAAAGGCACCAGGACTCGTAAATGTTTTTCGACTGGGGATACTACTAGAGAAGAGTTTCTTAGTTATAACTGTAGTCTGCGACATGTCACAGATGGACTAATTTACACTTTGAAGTGTTAAATGTAACTCCGTTATCGTATGCCCAACTTTAAAGTCCAGTCAGATCCTCCTGAAGTGCCTGTATGTCGTCTTGTTTGCGTATCTCCCTCCAAAGTTTCACGTCGTCGGCAAAAAGTAATAAGTCTGAAGTTACCTGATGAGACCATTTATATAGATCAAGAGGAGAAGAGGTCCTAGTACTGAGCCCTGGGGGACCCCAATAGGATATTCCATAGCCTGAGATAAAGTGAAATTAACCCTGACCTCAAAATGTCGATTTTTTAGGTACGAAGTGAGTCAATCGATTAGAGGTGGTCTGATACCCAATTGTTTGAGCCTATTGATAAGATATAATAATAATAATAATAATAATAATAATAATAATAATAATAATTTATTCTCAAATAACAGTTTGTTACATGAGGCATGCCAGTTTACAGGCAAGATCAAATTGATACAAATGATACAATATACACTGCAATAAATTACATAGCTGGGTTGATAATTTATAAGATATGAATGTCGATGGTTTAAATCAGTACTACAGTTGGCGCGCTTCATGAAAGTCGCGTTGCGAATGTGCGACTGATGGTCAAGAATAGGTCCATTGAAGGTATGGGCTTCTAAAAATCGCAACCTTATTTCCTTCTGGGATATCCAAGGCTTTAAGGATGGTGCAGGATGAAGTCACCAGTTCCATATCTCAAGGGGGCTGAAAGAGGGAGCAAGTAAAAGAAAACACGAGAGGCAGAGTAGCCAATATTCATGAAAGAATGCTTAAGGTATGATTACTCAGTCTAATTTTCCTTTATTAAGGTATATGTTAAGAAAGAGCATTTCAATAGGTTATAGAAAATAAGTGTTGACAAGGTGTGAGTGGACATACAACTGACAAATGGGGGCGATTCGGAAAAGAGCTGAGAGTATAAGATTATGTGTGATTATAAAATAAAATATAGTGCTAGAAACAGTATCGTGATATACATTTGGCTGTCTTCCCTTTAATATCGAAGCTATTAGAGCCTCTTTCGTTGTTTTTTAAAATATTTTTCCCCAGTTATTATAGGGTCTTGATTAGGCTTCGTATATTAGCGAATTGTCTAGTTTGCTTGTAATAGGATTTCTAGGTAGGAAGTGAAACCAATTCAACGTTCGTAACACGACTTAAAGAGGTATTTTGCGTGAATAGATCAGCTTCAATACCATAAGTTCGTGGCATCCCACTAAACCATAAGGAGCCGTAATTAAACAAAATGTTCTGCCCTACAGACATGGGTGGATTGAAGTTATCTCCCCACCTTCATGTTTGCTGGTCAGTAACGCCACCCTCCCTCCTTTTGTGATGTTAGGCTCTCTTACGTTTGTGGTAAGTATGAATACTGCTTTAATCAAAGCCCATAGTTGGAATACACTGTCTCTACTAGGTCCATGTTACAAGCAAATCAGATAGTTAAAAAACTTGTTTTATGGGTTAGATGTCCACATAGTATATCACACTGCTATGAAAATAACTAATGGTTTAAAGAAGTAAGGACTAATAGCAAATCAAAAGATATGAGAGGGTATAAAATCGTAGAAAAAAAAATTTCACGGTAAGACAAATAAAACAATAAGAAACTCACAAGACGTTGTGGCCAAACTTTGAATGGTCGGCCTTAGTAGATCAGCATTCATAAGATTGAGCTATCTGTCTACTTGCAGTGGAATAAAAAAAAGGCATGACTTTTAGGAAGAATAATGTACATTTAACCTGTAGAGATTTGGGAACTGAAAGCTAGGGTTAGGAGCATGAAGTCATGATTAATAATAGGAAAGGATAAGCCATATGTTCTGTGATTTGGTTATATTCATATTAGTAACAGTCGGACTTGTTATAATTTTGTTCTTTCTAGATACTAGGCGGTCCGTAATAAAGTGCCTCATTGGTGGGCGGGAGTTCAAGGAAATGTTGAAGCTCTTTGGAGTCTAGAAATAGGGTTATTAGCCTTTTGAATCTGATAAACGTATCACAATTACGGATAGGCATTGGCAGCCTGTTCCACAATAAACTGTACCGTACTGTAAAGAACTTACAACGCATTTGTTTTTGGTGTTTTACGATAAGTAGTGTATATGCGTTGTTTCTAAGTCTATAGGCTGGGTCGTGGGTAATAGTCGGGCAGGAGGTTAGAAAGGAGAGCCCATATATCGCTTTGTAGAGAAATATTAAATTGTTTTTTAGCCTACGGTGCCATAAGGGTTCTAAAGATAGATGCTTACATCTGTCTGTGTAATCAAGATTCGAGTTGCATCCTAGTAGTTGACGTGTGAAACGTCTTTGAACATCTTCTACTCTTGTCTTGTCTGTGATATTCATATTAGAGAATACAAAAGAGCAGTGTTCAAGGGAGGGTCTTACACATATTTTGTAGAGAGTAAGTTTACCCTCTGTTGTGAAAAAGTTTCTCATTATAAAGCCAATTAGCCGTCTAGATTTAGAAATAATAGAGGAGGCATGTTCTTCAAAGTTCAGGCTTCCTGTGTAATTAATTCCTAAATCGCGTACTGATTCGAGTGTTTGGACTCTACTTTCATTTAAGTGAAGTTGCGGTTTATAGGGATGCTTTCCAAAGTGCATGATCCCGCACTTGTTGAGGTTTAATGGTAATTGCCATTTTTCACTCCATATAGTTAAGTTATTGAGGTCCTTTTGGATCTGGGATACACTTTCGCTTAGTGTCTCAGGCTTATAGCTGTATACTATTTTGAGATCATCAGCATATAAGTATGGTCTCCCAAATTCTATGGTGTTACATATATCGTTTATATACATAAGAAACAAAAGTGGACCTAATACGCTTCCCTGGATGACTCCACTGGTGATTGGCCTAGAGGACGAGAGACAGTCATTGTACTTTACCATCTGTTTACGTTCTGTTAAGAACGAAGCAAACCATGAGTACAGTGGGTTGTGTATTCCGAAGGACTTTAGTTTGACGAGTAGCCTTTTGTGTGGGACCTTATCAAAGGCTTTCTTAAAGTCTAGGAATAGAACTGATACAAGGAGTCCGCTGTCTCGTTTCATAGTTATATCATTCAGGTAGTCTACTAGGCATGTATCGCATGATCTGGACCTAAGAAATCCATGCTGGGAGGTCGAGATGAGATTATTAGTTATTAGATGTTGGACTACAGCCGCCTTAACTACTTTTTCCATCACTCTGGATACCACTGAAGTTATGTTTATAGGCCGGTAATTTTCAACGTTTGCTTCAGGTCCTGTTTTAATTTTGGGAATGATATGTGTAGTTTTCCAGGCAGTGGGGTAACACGCTGAAGAGAGTGATATCGCGAATAGTTTGAGAAGCAAAACACACATATCATCACCTCCACGTTTTAGCATGCTAGATGGAATACCATCTGGTCCATCAGTGTATGAGTGTTTCAATGTACTGATTGCCTTGGAAATATTTTGTACACTGAATTCTACATTAGTAATTTCACAGGGAGGTACTGGGTAACTTTATCAAAAGCGTTTGAG